AGCAGTCAGGCAGGGCAGACTCGGAATTCCAACGACAGTGCACACGTGACAGGCTTCCTACTGAAATTTAACTGCCAAATTGAAGGAGGAATTGTGCCCTTTCTAATAAGGAAGAATGCAATCACTAGGATTCTTGAGATTTGGAATTCCAGCAGTGTCCTAGTGTTTTCCTCTTGATGCATGACAAGAATAATATCAAAAATAAAAATAAACCTCATCTCAACAAGCAGTCTTTTGACTCTATAAGGTCCAACATCCAATACATCACATTCTAAAACATACCCAAGAGGCAATAAAGGAATAGCATGCTGGGGTTAGACAGAGTTTCAAACCCTCCACTGGTTGTAACCGATGACCTCGTTTTGTTCATTCCTGTTGAGCTACTGCCACTTCGGCTGCCTGCTAGAGACCATATTTCATATTCATATGCATACTTGACTTTGACCTTGTAAAAAGCCCCTTGGGTCTATAATACTTTTATTCTTGTATAATCTGAAACAAATCCTTTCCTTTTAAAAATCAAATAGACCACGTTATACACACAGTTGACTATTTACAAAGCACCCAATTAAATCCTACTTAATTCTCTCTCACTCTAAAAATTCCATCTAAATGGTGTGTAAAGTACCCATCACATTAAATGCATAATGTTCACAAACCCTGACAGTTCTACCTAGCCTAGAAAATACTACCTTTCTTAAGGAAAAAGGTCTTAAAAAATAAATGTAAAGTTTCAAAGAAACGAGACCAGAAATCACAGTACGAGACAGATAACTCTACTTTAATATTCACATGTAAAAGTTGCACATCACAAGAGACTGGTCAGGAGCTTAGCGGTACCTAACATAGCTATAGTGAAAATCATTTGTATAAAAAATAATCTAGATGTGGTCATCAGAATTTTTGGTCTACTTAAGTTACTGTTTGAAGATCGACTCTTATCCCTGCTTGAAGGATTTGCCATAATGCCTTTTTTATATTTTTCTCTCACTGTTGGTTGCCTATTGATATTCTTTGGAGGAAGGAAAGCAGAAAGGTTCATCCCAAGAGTTTGTCCTTTGGTAGCAAGCAGAGAACATTGTTTCGTTTCTGTGACTTAAATAATCTGTACAGACAGGAAACTTCATGACATTAAGCTTTAGTGTAAAATATAGAATGACGAGCAAGTCCTTTCACTATGATAAAACAGATGTCAGGACCTCCTTAAGGATCCAAGATTTTCCCCATCCCGTAAGCCAAATCATTCAGAATCCATGTTGACCTCAGTTAAAAAACAAAAAGCAAACTCTTTATGTATTACACTGTAGCCCTGTACTAGAAAACTGGTAAGGTGTATTTTTAACACGTATGGTTCAAATACAAAGATTTCACTCTAGGTTAAAGAAAACACATTTGAATGGACTCAGAACAAGTTTATTTTGTGATTAGACATCCCATGCAATCATGCAAAACCACTAGCTATAACTGTTACTTCCAAATGTATGAAACTGGGCAAAACAAAAACAAATTGAAAGCAAAGCCAAACGGAAAAGACATTCAGGATACCAAGAACTCTGCAACTGAGCTGGAAAATAATTTTCCAAAAGAAATATTCCCTTTGATAAAAAAAAAACCACACACATAATATTTACAAAAAATATTTAATTAAAAATATCTTATAATTACAGTAGTCTATTAAAGCATATACTTTCTCACACTTATAGAACATCTCTATACAGGGTATGAAATGTCACTCCATTACCTATACAATATGTAACATTCTTGCAGGGAAAACAAAGTTCTCTGCCCTGTTATAATCATCTATTTTAAACAATAGATGTAAAAAAAAATATCTACAATGCTCTGGTGTATTAGTAAAGCTTCAAAATAAAAATTGAGCTCCTTGGTCACGAAGGCTTCCAAGGTTGGATTTACTCTTGATCTTCTATTAATCATTCCTGTCACACTCAAGCTTAAAAGTTTTAACTGCACCTCCAAAAAAAAAAAAAAAAAAAGACCCACACAGAAATATACAATTCACAGCGGTTATAAACGAAGAGTCAAAGAGAATACGTATGCAGAATGCTTATGAACGTGCAAATAAAAGGATGAAAGTTGGAGTTTTCTTCCCTCGCCCTCTCTCTCTCTCTCTCAGAAGGACGAAAGCAAACGTCTCGAGTTTGCTGCAGTGTTTTCCTTTCCTCCGGTGGCTTTTGCGCTAAGTTCTCCTGCCCCTCCCTCTCTAGCGCTCCTGGCTCGGGCTCAGGCGGCCGCGCACCTGTGGAATAGGAATGAATAGAGGGGGTGTGTGAACCTTCTCGCTGCAGACTAACTGGCGCCACCGACCAAACTCGAGACATGCTTGATCAACAACCCCAAACAAACCACCGGGTCAGACAACACCCCCAGCCCGCGGCCGGGCCGGGCGCCCAGCAGGCAGCTGCGGGCCCGAGGAGCTGGGAGAGGGGACCACTCCAGGGCCCTGCCTAAATCCCCCTTAATGGGTGTCAGGCTGCACAAAGGGGACATCAGGACAGTTTCCAGGCCCGCCAGGGTGCCCTCCCTTGGGAAGTACGGAGGACAGAACGGGCCCACCGGTCAGCGGGAGAGGAAGGGGGGGCGGTGGGGTCAAGAGCAGACAGGGCTCCTTTCGAGAGTGAACCCCAAGTTCTACCGCGAAGTACGTGTTCACTTGCTAACTGGGTGGCAGGGACGGATGGGTGTCCTCTTCCTTGGGAGTTGGCCCTCAGTAATGCTGGGGGCAGAGGACGCCGCGGTGCCACGCACCGGAAGCCCCCGGGGACGGGCGTCGCCGGTGACTAGCCACCCGGGACGGGCAATGCGCGCTCACCTGGCCAGCGCGCTCAGCGGCACAGAATGCTGTCGCCCTGCTTGTTCACGGCGCCGGCCTGGAACAGCAACCCAACAGCGAGGGAGAGGTTAGCAGGCGCGAGCAACGCGCTCGTCGCGGTCCAGGATTCGTCCTAGCGAACCCGGCTGGCGCACCGACACCCACCCGCGTCTGCACCCGGGGCCCGCGGACGCAGCCGACTTGACAGGCCTCG